GCCGACGCCCTCCGGCTCATCGAGGGCGACGACGGGTCCGGCGTTGTCGCCTATGCGCAGCAGCAGAACGATTCGTTGAGGTCCGAGTACCCCCCGCTTCTTGGGGATGTTGAGGCGCATATCCCGTGGGCCACCGAAGCGTTCGGCGGGGCGCAGCCCGACGCGGTGAATCTCTGGATCGGGAATTCCCGGTCGCAGACGTCTTTCCACCGGGACCACTACGAGAATATCTATGCCGTGGTCACCGGCGAGAAGCATTTCCTTTTGCTGCCTCCCACGGAGGTTCACAGGTACTGGGTACCGGGCTGTTTGCGTTTGTATTGGTTTAAAAAAAAAAGTATATCCACAAATATTTTATCGAATATGAAGGTATATTTAGTTAGGTAATTTCTAGTTCGTGATGTGAACTGTTTTAAGTAAGAAGACATCTTTATCTGGTTAAATGAGTACTATATTTTTTTCTTTTTCTAAAGAATTTGATTTTTTTTTCACACGGTACTTATATTTAAGGAAGATTATGTTTTATGATTATCAAGTGCAAAGAATCTGAATATTCGGTTATTAGGGAGCCAATTTGATATAGACCTTAAAAGTAAAATACATAAGTGGGTAAAATAAAAAAAGGCAAGATAATGTGTATGATAGTATCAACTATACAAGACATCAAATTTTAACGAACATCTGATGATTAGACGCATCAAATATATGTGGTTAAATTTTGTTAATCTGTGAATGAATTGCCAAATCGAATGTAATCGAATCACTTGACAAACAACCCCTATCTCACAGGCTTTATATACAGCAGTATCCAGCTGCAGTGTACAAAGGAGGAGTTGAGGGGTTGAGGCTGGAGATGGAGGAACCGGAGAGGGAGGTGCCATGGTGTAGCGTGGACCCTTACCCGGAGACGGAGGAGGAGATGGCGAGGCAGAGGAGGGAGTTTCCAATGTATTTTGATGGGCCGGAGCCGTTTAAGTGTACAGTGAGGGCTGGAGAGATGCTGTATTTGCCGAGCATGTGGTTTCACCATGTGAGGCAGAGTCCCGATGAGAATGGGAGGTGTATTGCTGTTAATTACTGTAAGCAATTATTTCAAGCGTTGCATTTGGATTGACATGTATGAAAGGAATTGTGAGCTGAATTTGTGTTTTTCAATTGTGTAGGGTATGATATGCAGTTTGATATCAAGTACGCTTATTTCAACTTCTTGCAATCCATTGACTATCGTGCTGCTGCTACTGGAGACAAGGATGTTGGTGATGATTCTAGAGATGATGAAGGTTCAAAGGCAGAGACGAGCGGTTAGGCACTGCCAATTTTACCGAAGATCTTTCGTATCGACATTGGTGAGGCAATGGATGAGTGCTGAGGTCTCCCTGTTTTGGATTTGAGGCAGTTGGATTCAGTCAATGCACCGGACTGGTCTCCTCTTATGTTATCTGTGTTGAGAATAAATGAGCGTGCATGTTTTTTGTTTTGTCGAGAGTCCTTTTCGTGCTAACTTATCTACTGCTTCAAAATGTACCAATTAAAGTATGAAGTTAAATCTTTTCATTGTCTAGAAAGATAAAAGAATAATAAAAATAAGAAATATCCCTTGTATGCGTCAGGGCAGAGAAAGAAGTTTAATAAAGATTACAATATTCCTGGTTGATTTTAGATTGATCAAGATGTTCAAAACCTCCAGGTTTCTGAAAGAACCTTACTTCTCTGCTTTTACCTAAAGAAACATCAGGCTTCCCTTGAAAGGCAATATTAATTTTCATCTGAGGCATATGCAAAAGCAAACGAACAAGTATATATGCTGGAAAAATGATTATAATTCCTCGCAAAATGCTCCATATAAGAAAAAGCGGATGCAGATCGACATGTTAATCAGTTGAAAGCCATTTGTTTTTGCTCCTCAAAGGGCTAAGTTATATCTTGTACAGGAATATACTCAGCCAGCAAAGTAAAAAACAAAGGCTAATCTACAAGATATACCTTGGCATGAAATACAATCAAAAGTAAAACAGCATCTAATATTTGCTTATTTACAAGCGCAACCATCAGCTACGGTTCTTATTCCAGAAACTCAGATCCAATTCCTTCTCAGCTAGTTTTCACTGGACGAAGAATACTGTAACGCATCTTTAACTGCAGACGCAGCTGCCACGTAATTAAGCGTATTCTTCAAAGTTTCTTTCTCCCTTCTAAGCCGCAGGGCTGTATCCTCCAATTCCAGCAAAGCCTGCTGCTCTTTAGGAGCACCCTCAAAAGTACTCCCTACAAAGAACGAGAATGGCGTAGGAAATAGATTCCTTCTTAGATCCTTGGCTTCTTTCTCTGGTTCACCATTGAGCTTATTAGATATCCTTATCACATCCTTCATACAAGTCTCCACCTCAAGAGCAAGTGATTCCAAATCTTGATCTTGCCCATTTGCAGAAGGTCGATCCTCCAACCATTGGACCTCTGCTACAAGATACGGTTTCGTCCGAACAAGATTGATAACTCTGAACCTCTCCTGTCCTTCGCAAATGATGAAGAATCGATCATCCACAAGCTTTTCGTGTTTCACAATTTCTCCCACGCATCCAACATCAAATGTTCCAGTGGAATTGTCAGAGTATACGATGCCAAATCTGAGATCACTTTGGAGAAGAGTGTGCATCATTATTCGATATTTGAACTCGAATATTTGCAAGGGGAGAGTTGTTCCAGGAAAAAGAACTAAAGAGAGCGGGAAGAGGGGGAGCTCTACTAGCTTGTTCGAATCATGTACGTCAGATTGGTTATTATCTGAAGATGAGCATTTTAAGATGGATATTCCTGTACCCATCTTTTGCCAAGAACAAAGACAAAAGTCACTGTTAGAAAGGAGACCATGTTTATCAACTTTGATTTTGGCTGAGGAAGTTGGGAAGCGTGAAGTCAAAGAATACTGAAATCTATCTGTTGGTTTTGCTCTTAATTGGGGAAGGCAAACATGGAGTGCCATTAGTTATCAAATGTTGAAAGACCAGTTTTCAAATGTTGGATAATATGTTTATTTTTTTGAAGATTGCAACACAGTGGGATGGAATAATATGTCTATTTCTTTCAAGGAACAAAAAGAGAACATTAGAGGTAGAAATAAGATAGAGGCTACTCCTAGTGGTTTTAGGATGGAAATGATACAGGTGATCAATGAAGAAGATGGAGTAATCCCTTGAAAATATCTTCTACCTGCACCAAACCCAGTATAAATTTCCTGTTAATAAGAAACAAATTCAAAAATATTGTAACTTTAGAAGTTGATAAACTGGATAATGAAAGTACAGTTGAACAAAACATAGCATTTAAACCATAGATTTGTACATGAGAGGAAACAATTCTCTATTGCTGCGCTGTGATTAACATATTTTAGTATTTCAATACTTCATTATTTCTTCCCCCTACCTCTAGAATATTGTAATGCTGCACTTATTTCACATCATAAAGAATAACCTGCATAAGAAAACTACATTAGTACTTCATAATTTCACTAATTTTAGTTAGTGTATCAAGAGCATACAAGATGGCAAGAAAAGAAAAACCAAAATTTACATGTGGTGATGAAAGGTCTTACTCTTATCTATTACTAACTGCTAGGTCACACTTTAAAAAGAATTGAGATTCATTCATCTTAGAGAAGATATAAATGTCATGAATCAAGATGAAGACCATAATAAGTTCTCGTAGAATCATAGATATCGACCCTAATACAGCACTCACTAGAAAATCATGTAATATTAGACAATTGGCAAAATATGGAATCATGGAAATCTCCAATCTATAGAAGAAAAATTCCCATAAACTCCGGATCTGAATTGATTGAATGAAGAGCCATTAATTTTCAACGCGATCTAACCCAAAGCAGCGGAACAATACCAACTCCAAGAAAAGATTACCAATCACAAGTGACAGAAACAATCATCAAACTATTAGAAAATAGAACCTTCAACCTTCACCACAACTTTGGAGTTATGGTGTAGTGGTAAGGACTTTTAGATGGTACCAGAGCAACCCAGGTTCAAATCCCATAAGCCATGAATTTAAAGCAGATTTTAAAAATATTTTTACATTCACGTGAGTCCAGGTTTCTACCCATAGAAAGGTATGGAGGCAGGCGGTCAGGGACTTTAGGAACAACCTAACAGACTAACTGGAGTAGGAAAGGATAAGTTGGCATCGTGCTATTGAAGTTACTTCTATAATTTCCATCAATAATCCAATTAACAATACACAACTCACTTTCAATATATGAATTGTTTTTATCCTCACTCTTCTCAAATTTCATCAATGTAAAAAGTTTAAACGCTTCCACTGTTCCACCTATGATCCATTTGACAATCCACGGAACTTCATATTTTCTCTAACAATCTAGGCACCAGAGCCTCTATCCTATTAATGTGAAAAATGATGAGATAAAGCAACAAAGAATGCGCAGATGCAAATACAGAACACATGTCAACCGCCGAATGCCGCATGTGAAGCATTATGCCTTTGATGGTCTAATGAAACTAAGGTGGTCCAATGAAAGTCCACTCTACTAACACATTTCGACTTTTGACTGCCAGAATTAATTATCAAGTTTCTCATGGAAAACCCAAGTGCATCAAACTCCTCCAGCACTAAAAGCTAGTGGAGAAAAAGAGATAAAATATCATTCATGTCAGAAATATTTCACGAGTTTCAAATGAATGAAGATCAGGTTTATAGCAAATTTTCAGTTATAATATAGATTCATGCTGGGTTACATGTCACAGGCCATATTGATGCCAAAGAAATCTGTTGCTTACATGCATTAGTCCCAAAGCATGAAATTGAAAATGGCTGGTAATATATTTACATCTAGAAAGCATGTTATATATTTAGGTTGTATCAGTCAAAATTATTGCTCAGGGTAGTTCGAATGGAATGTGGTTTTAGTAACCTGCATAGGGGTGCTAAACCGTATCCGTATCAGAAGAAATATCCGAAACCGTATCCGTTAGGATACGGATGTGGATACTCAAATCTATAACCGATAGGATATGGTTACGGATATGGTTTTGTAGTGAAATATCCGGATCCGTATCCGAAATATCCGAATGCATATTAATCATACTCTTATGATAGTTTTAATTCTTTGATTATGGATTTGTGGTTAATTTTGACGGTCAAGATGTCTAATCTTACCTTTTCAGCAATAACGAATATATTAACCAACTCTTTTGTATTACATGAACTATGTGTTTCTCATATCCGTTTTGTATTTGCATGCGTATCCGCTCATATATCCATATATATATCCGTAACCGTATCCGATTTTAGCGGATATGGATATTCCTTTCCGAGTCATATCCGTATCCGTATCCATACCCGAGATGGGTAATCGGATATCGGAAAATAGTACAGAGGTCTATCCGCACAAATAGAAGCTCAGGGCTCTGTCCACAATTGGGGGTGATAGTACAGGACCACAGGTGGTCTATTAACAATTAACCCTAGACTAAAAGTGCTTTATCATCTTTATTCCTACTGCTTAAAAACACATTTCCCCCCCATCAATTTCGTTCACTACTCGCCTCTAATCTCCAAGCACAATCTCTATCTATTTCCTAGACCACAAATCAGCCATAGAAAATTAAAGCAGGAAAAAGAAAACAATTCAGATATACTGGTGAACTAGAGAGTCATCCGGTTCCTCCTCCAAACTTAAGCCAAAAAAAAAAATTGTGCACTAGAATCAACAAAATCCAACTTCAGCGCGAAAGAAACAAAGAAAAATCGCATAATAGAATCACTAGTTAATGAGAAGAAGAACGAACCGAGGAGAGAGAAACCCCCGGAAATGGAAGTGGAAGTGGAAGAGGATAAGAGCTGAAGAATACTAAACTCAGAAGATTAAGGGGCTGTTCGTTTGGCCATTTTTTTTGGGAAATCAAAGAATAGGAAACCTATTTCCTATAATATTTGTTTTGAGGTTGTTTGGTTGGTTTAAAAAAGAAAGAAATTGTAGAATAGGAGATAAGATGAGATGAGTTGTCAACTTATTATTGGATGATGTGAGTGATTTTAAAAAAAAATTGTTTTGAGGTTGTTTGGTTGGTTAAAAAAATAAGGAAATGAATTGGAGGTATATTATTGGATGATGTTTTGAGGTTGTTTGTGTTTGGTTCGTTTTTAAAAATAGGAAAATAGATGAGATGAGATGAGTTGGAGGTATATTATTGGATGATGTGACACGTACTTAAGGAAACCAATTTCTTGTTTTTTTTTGAGGAAATGGATGGAAAGGAATGTTTAATGAGATGAGATGAGTTGTCACAATATTATTGGATGATGTGTGTGATTTTTAAAAATGGGATAAGATGAGTTGTGATGAGTTGGATGATGTGACACATTTCTTGTGTTTGGTTTATTTTTAAATGTAAGAAAGGAGATGAAATGAGATGAGTTGGAAGATAAAAATAATATTTTATTAGATGTTGTGGGTGAGTTTTAGGGATGGAAATGGGTAAAAATATTATTTTATTGATTTCCTTGTACCGATTTCCTTTTCTTGATTTTTAGGAAACCAACCAAACGGGCCCTTAGGGGATACGGCGGAGCGAAGAATATCCTATTTTGGAAGGGCGGCGTGGCAGTACGGAGGGCGTGCGCTTTGCCACGCGCACCCGAAGTCAATCAAACTCGCCCCCCGCAGATTGGGGTGAGCGTTAACGGGCTTGAGCCAATTCAACTGATCAAACTGACCAAAACCTGACGGCTCTATTCGGTTTTAGTTTCAAAAAAAATTTAAAACGAAAATATTCGGGCTGGCTGCTCTCAACATAGTTCACTAAACCTCACGCTCTTTTGATAACGGATGTGAAATTTTAGATGAATGTTTTTATTACATTGATAATGTTTCAAATTTTAGTTTCTTTTAGTAGTTGATTCAAGTGATTTAGGCTCTAACTTGGTGCATGAAATGAGTGCGTAAAATATTGAGGAGGGAGAACGTTGCTTTCTTGGGCTAATATAAACTTCTTTACCTTGATGTTTATGTCTGAAACAAACAAACAGGACCGAACCGCACAGTTCAATTCACAATCTAGTTCGGTTTGATTTGACAAAAAATAGTCAAAACCGACGGAACTGACCGTTTGCTCACCCCTACTCCCAAAGCGACATAGGTTCAGTTCTCACTTTCCTTTTATTTTGGGTTTTTTTTTATCGAACTGACCGTTCTGCTATTATCTTGAAAATCGTTGCGCTCTTGGAAATCATTATTACGAAAATAATTAGTAGAAAAATTCCACACGACCCCAACTTCATTAATTTTATTTTGTTTAAAATTTAATTTTGTCAGATTTCCGATGAAAGTACAATAAAATTCTATCCTACTCTTATTTTATTTTTTTACCTTTCTAAATTCGATAATCCGGGGGAAAAAAGAATCAATGCGGAGGGTACAGGGTGCATTTTTGGGTGCAAGAAGTGAGGGCACATATAAGGTATTGCAACGAAACGATTCTTGGACTGCGACGACTTATCACCCTGGGGCCATGGACAATGTTATGCAAAGTCTTTGATTTCACTAGTAATGGGCCAATTTAGTGAGGACAAATAAGGCCATTCCAGTTACACCCGTACATATCATGGGCTAACTATTTCGTTGGGCCAATTTATGATGGAAAATAAGCCCAAATGCAAATCGACTCTCCAGATTAGAAATTCGAATAATCATTGGTATTATAAAAAAAAAAAGAAATTAAATCTAGTTTTAGCTTAATACACGAAAACTGTCTAGCTCTATTTGACGAGAAAACTTGGGAAAAATTTAGTCACAAAAGAGTTGGGACTCGTATATTAGTAGTAGTTTAGTACAAAGATATAAACAACACAAAAAAAGGATATTATGAATAAGTTTGGATCGTTTCAGCGAGTAATTTGTGAAGAAACAATGTCCTTGGCGATATTTTCCTATTTCCCCCCCTTTTTAAATTGGGACTAGCTGTACTCGGATGTGAATCTACAGCACCACGCATCAATCCACCAGTCACCAAACAGTGGAGTTGGAGAAACTCCTCGTCCCCATCTCGCCTGTTGCGTAAAGTAACTGCTGACGATGAATACGAGAGGCATCACCTCTTCGCTCCACTCGATTTCTCCTCCATTAATTAGGGCTGTTTGGTTGGTTTCCTAAAAACCAAGAAAAGGAAATCGGTACAACGAAATCAATAAAATAATATTTTTATCCATTTCCATCCCTAAAACTCACCCACAACATCTAATAAAATATTATTTTTATCCTCCAACTCATCTCATTTCATCTCCTTTCTTACCTTTAAAAATAAACCAAACACAAGAAATGTGTCACATCATCCAACTCATCACATCTCATTTTATCTCATTTTTAAAAATCACACACATCATCCAATAATATTGTGACAACTCATCTCATCTCATTAAACATTCCTTTCCACCCATTTCCTCAAAAAAAACAAGAAATTAATTTCCTTAAGTACATGTCACATCATCCAATAATATACCTCCAACTCATCTCATCTTATCTATTTTCTTATTTTTAAAAACGAACCAAACACAAACAACCTCAAAACATCATCCAATAATATACCTCCAATTCATTTCCTTATTTTTTTAACCAACCAAACAACATCAAAACAAGTTTTTAAAAAAATCACTCACATCATCCAATAATAAGGTGACAACTCATCTCATCTCATCTCCTATTCTATAATTTCCTTTTTTTTTAACCAACCAAACAACTTCAAAGTAATTATAATAGAAAATAGGTTTCCTAAAGTTTGATTTCCCAGTTTTTTTGGCCAAACGAACAGGCCCTTAATTAAGGGGGTCGACGTCTACTGGGCTATCCACCCAACCTCACACACCCCTTGTCCCTTTCATTTTCCTACTTGCTTAATCCACAGATTTACTGCCCTGCCCCCATCAAATTTGAACCTTAGGACCTGAACGAGAGGGATCATCATCTATTCAGCCTTAAGCTTATCCCATATTAAATATTATATATGTAGCAAACTCTGATGCATGCAACCGATCATAACATCCAGAAGTTAACAGCCTACATTAACGAAAATTAGTCCCGCTAACTCGTGCAAGGTCTTGACCAACTAATTTGGGTTCTCTTCTCTGTTTCTAAGTGACTGAAAAAATCACTTACAATTATAAAACCTATAACATTTGACAGTTATAATTTATTCTAAGTATAATCCGACCGTACTTCTATCAAAAATAAAATGTTGACATTCATTCAATAATAAGTTGTTTTATAGATAGAAAGATTATATATGTAAGTTCTTGTATTTGAGCTGGTCTTCTGAAAATATCGTCTTCTCACCCAGCAGCTCACCGTGGAAACCCGTATTAGCTGGGGAAAGAAGCCATCGCAATTAATGTGAGGCGACCGCAAAAAATGGAGGAAAAAATGCGTGGTTTCATCATCATATGTTGTTTATTTTATTATTTAATCTCTCACTTTCTTATTTATGGTATTAGGGTTTTGCTCTTCAACTTTCAACAACCCCTTATGGCCGCCAAAGACTTGATTTACATGGTGTCGATAGGCGAGAATGCTATATTCTCAATGCTAAGTTCTATACTAAGCTTTTTTGAACTGAAATTTGATGTATCTGAAAGATTGAAAGTACCTCAAGATACTTTATCATTGATGTATAAATCTGAGATGCACCTGAATATGAGTTTTTCAGTTGATAATGAAGATGATTTGAAGTGCATAATGGAACATAATTTTAATCTTGGTTGTATGGAGATCCATATGCAAGCTGTTGTTAATTAGAGGGTTCTACTTATGAAAAAAAATTAGAAAGTTCTAACTGAAATATAAGTAATCAATAAACTCTTTTTAAAATTGGGATTTGTGTGATGTAGGCTTTGTGATTTTAGGTTTCATAGCACAGATGAATCATAATTGTTAGCTTTAATGGTTATATGTTAACTCTTCATGTCGTGTGTTAAGTTTCACAACTAATAGTTAACTTTCACTAGAATATGTTAATTTTTAGGGTTTTTTGTTGACTATCACAGTATCATGTTAACTTTTAACTGAAGGTATTAACTTTCCTTCTAGTTTGTTAACTTTTCCTACTGTATGTTAACTTTCACTACTTTATGTGACGTTGTTACCAAAACTTGTTAACTTTCCTTCTAGTCAGTTAACATTCATAGTTACTTGTTAACTTACACAATAAGCTTTTAATTTTAAATATTAGAAGATAATATTATAGTTGAATTTGATATCTCATTAGTTCATTAATTTGTGCAGCAGTGATACCTCTTTGAATGCATAATATAATCATCATCCTCCAGGAAATACTTCTAATTCAGAGAGTATCTGAAGTGATTACCCATCTGGTGAGAATGTAATGAGATTTAATGATATTCTCAATAACACTTCCATTATTCGTCAATGGTGACACACAACATTAACTGAAAGGGGCCAACAATTTAAAAGTGTAAATAAATTGCGACTATCTTCATAATACTATTCTATGTCGAAAAAGTTTGATTATGAATTTGCAAAGAATGAACCCAAACGTATCAAAGTTTATTGTTAATATAGGGAAACATATGGATGTCCTTGGATGCTATTTGCCTCTCCTATTAAAAATAAAAAAAGAAGTGAAATCAAGAGGTTTATTAATGAACACAGTTGTGGATAACATACTAACTTGTCAGGAAGATTACTGGCATCTCACAAATTCATAGCAGCCCAATTGCTACATGTGTTAAAGGTTTTGCCTGAAATCCACCCAATTGATGTGCAAAAGGAGTTTCTCACTCAATATGGATTGAGAATTGAATATAGTAAGATATGATAGTGTGTAGCAAATTCTATTTGTTCTTCACCGCTTAAAGAAAGAGCACAAGAGGAGTTGTAT